GGAGGCACACAATATGGTAACCCTAGGTTTTCTAAATCTCTGATCATTGTTGTTGCTCCCCTCTAGACTCTCACCAGTTTGTCCACATCTTTCCTGTAGTGTGCTGCCCAGTACTGGGCATAGAACTCCAGCTGAAACCTCACCAGTGCCAAGTAGAGAGGGACAATTACCTCCCATGTCTTACATGTGACATTCCTATTAGCCTTTTCCATAACTTCTTCACACTGTTGGCTCATATTCAATTTGTGAGCCACTATGACCCCAGATCCTTTTCAGCAGTGCTGCCACCTAGCCAGTTATTCCACATTTTGTAGTTGTGCATTTGATTTTTCCTTCCTAAGTGAAGTACTTTGCACTCACCTTTACTGAATTTCAGCCTACTGATTTCAGAACAATTCTCTAATTTGTCAAAGTCATTTTGAATTCTAATCCTGTCTTCCAACATGCAACCATTAGAAATACAAGACTCAGTGAGGACATGGAGGCTTCATTCACTGACTCTCAGGACCAGGGCCATCTCCCTGCCACTCCCAGACCGAGGCTGGATTGTCAGGGCAATCTGAGCTCTAGTGATTGCAGAGCTGAGTCACCATAAACTTCTCAATAGTTCCCCCTCCCTTCCCCGGGTATCTCTGCACTGCAATGAAAAATCCACGGCTGGCCCATGCCAGCTGACTCGGGCTTGCAGGGCTCGGGCTAAGGGGCTGTTTAATTGTGGCGTAGACATTCAGGCTCAGGCCTGGCTCCTTCGCATGTGCACTAGGGCATGTGCAGAGTTCACCCCTAGCAGTCTAAAAGACTAGAGCAGGGTAGTAAGTAGTTAGTAGTGTTAGGAGACTGTTTCCTGGTAAGGGCCAAGCTGTTGTTTGCTGTAGAGTGCTAGTACCTCACCGTCACTGCCCAGGCCCCAGAGGAGGTGCTGCTGGGCTCCTGAGAGTGGATGCAGCATCTCCTGCTTGATTTCACCAGCTGGAAAGAAGTAGGCATGAGGCACAGGCTGTGATCGCACTCTCCCCAACACCTTGGACTTCCTTGCATCAGAAGACAGACAGCCTCTCACCTAGAGGAGCAGTTGCCTTCCCCCCACTCCAGCAGGTTCTGCCAGGGGCGCCCAGAGGATTCAGGGGGCCTGGGGCAAAGCAATTTTGGGGGCCCCTTCTTTAAAAAAGTTGCAATACTATAGAATACTATAGTCTCGTGGGGGCCTCTCTGGGGCCCGGGGCAAATTGCCCCACTTCCCCCCCCCCGCCCCCTCCGGACAGCCTTGGGTTCTGCTCACATGGGACAGCCAATCCAATCTAAATTTGACGGGTTTTGTCTGCAAAGCAGAGAAAGCACTTGTAACCCTAAGAACGCCTCAGTGCCAACTGGCAAAGGGCTCACTGTTCTGTTACAGCAATTCCTATCAGGCCTGACAAAGCCATTACACCCAACACGCTGCTTTCACAGTATTGATCCAAAACGGGTCCTGTGAGGTATCTAATAAAAGCTTACGTCATGCTGATCCTCAGAACCATGCCAGGATGTGCGGATGGATGCTATTTAAAAAGTTGTGTATATTTACTGCACACATGTTTTAAACTCCAAATCAAGGCAGGGATGACAAACAGGTTTTGAGGCAAAGGAAGATGATTCACCTGTCTCATTGTCAGCTATGTAAATTAAGCATTGTAAGCCAATACAATGGAAGCCCATTTTTGCATATGGAGTCAACAGGAGAACACAAAAACAACTTGGAACCAGCAGCCCAGGAAAGAGTTATTGGGGGTCATCCTGATTCGGGAGGGCAAAAACAATGGACTTTGGGGTCTAACAGAAAGGCAAAGAGACATATTTTTCATCCTTCACTGAGGAAGCAAAAAAGGACAGTGCTTCTGCATTCACAAAAGTTGGACCCTAGCCATGTTGGTTAGTAATGGCGGGAGATTGCTTTGGGTGAGAAACTGCTTTAGACAAAGATTTTAGTCTATTAAAGCTAAGTTTAAACTCTAAGAAGCATGTAATACTTGTTTTTTATGTAATCTATTCTTCTTGTTAGCCGTACTCACCATTTCTTAACTCTTTGATGGTAATCTGATGATTGTTTTCACTATACATATTTCTCAGTGCTGTGATGTTACAAGGACCTGAGCATGAAACATTGTAGCTGGTTTGGCTTCCCTGGCTGCTCCCCCCAACACGCCCTCTGCTCAGCACTGGTGGGCCACAGTGAGGGAGATGGGAGAGAGCTTTGCACCAATTCACAGCCCTCTGTATGTCATGGCAGGTCAGACTCAGTGCAGGACTTCAGCCCCCCACCATGGCCTGTCCCTGCCCTCCCATCACAGGCATTGCATGCCCAGCCCAGTGCCCTGTGGAGGGGCTCGGCCAATCCAACCCATTACAGACTCTTCCAGCCAGCGTGGTGATGGTGGGGGACCTTGTCTTTCCCCCCTCCCATCACAGATCACCTCGGCCTAGCACAGTGCCCTGGGTGGGTCAGGGTGTGGTGTGAAAAACTGCCAATTACTAACTGGGGCAGTGAAACGGAGCGGCCCAATGGGAATTCCAGCTGGTGCCTTCATCATTAAATTCACTTGGATTTAAAACTCAGAGTCCCATTTAATGTGCCTGACTGTGCTAAGGCTCCTCCCCATGTGCACTGGGCCATGTGCAGAGGTAACCTCTAACTGTCTCCATGGCCGTAGGCTTTTGGGTCCCTGTCAACCCCCATATCTGCTTCACCCTGTCTCCCTGGTTATGGGGCCTACTAACTCACTTGCTGAAGTGGGCGTTGTGTGCCTACAATTACAGTATGGGCCGTCCGGACCGCGCTGAACATGGAGGCTACTGAGCCTAGCACAGTCTAGGGCTGTTCGGAAAGCACCAGATCCCCGTCTGACAGTGACTTCCCTGAAGGAAGAAGTCTGGCCCCATAACCTGTACCATGTAGAACGATCTGGGGGGTGGGGTTTGGCGTGGCACAGACAGCAGCCTGCACAGGTACAGGGCCCCCCAGGAACCTCCTCTCATTCGGTACTTACAGAGTTCATGGATTCCAGGGTTGTCACTGAATTCCAGGACGTAGAGATGTCTCCCCTGGACACTGCGGCCAATAGTGTAAATCCTGGTGATATCAGGACACTCGTTGTGCACATTGAACAGGGCCTGCACCAGCTGCTCATAGCGGTGGTGGAAAAAGTTCACAGAGGCTGCCACTTCGATCAGAAGCAGGAATCTCACAAGAGGCCAGAGCAATTGAGACATCCTTAGCACTGGGATTAACTGAGATCTCAGAGCTCCCTTCCTGACAGGAACTAAAGTGCAAACTCAAACCAGCTCTCTCCAGTTTCACAGCCAAGTGCCAGCCCACTGCACCTGCAGGGCGGTGGGGGCTGGGGTCAGGGAAAGAGTCTCTGGAACTGGGCTGCGAATGCCCCCGCACAGCTTGGAATGCTTTCCAGCTCTGAGCTTTAGCATCAGGGCTCCCACCCACCCCAGAGCCAGGATCACTACAGAGCCAGCTCTATGTTTGGAAAGTTTCACTGATTCCTGTTCATTTATTAACTGGATGGTAAACAGGGCCCTGAAGCCACTGACTGTCACTGCAGGAGAAGCGCAGGGCTGGACAGCTGGCTACTGTGAGGTTCAGGAGACACAAAGGCTCCACAGCTGCCATGTCTGTTGGCTTGCAAAGCAAGAAAGAGAACAGAAGAGGGACACCAAATGCAAGAGGAGCCCTGTTCAGAGACCAGAGGAACGGGACATCTGCGGGGGATCAGCGACTTGGCCTTCACAGCACTTGCCAGCAATACCCAGCTCTTCCAGCTCTGGGTCCCAACGCGCTTTACAAAGGACAAGTTGGCATCATTATGCCCTATTTCATAGGGGGGAAACACCACCCAGCAACTGAGGGCTGGAGCTGAGCACAGAGCCAGCATTCCCAAAGCTCCAGCCACTGCCTGTGCTACCTCTTTAATGACCAGAGCAGCCAGAACACTGGGTCAGATCAACAAACCAACCAAAGCCAAAGTATTTGAGGTCAAGAAGAATTTGCCAGCCAGGAGCAGGGCTTCATGCCCCTCCCTCCCCATCCCCATTGGGATGTGAGACGCTGTGCCCACCACTCCCACGGGAGAAGCCTGCTCCCCCAGCCCCTGCTCACGGGGCAGAGTGGGGCAGTTCAGAGCTAAATGCTGTTTCAGTCCCAGGTTTATAACTTCTGCCCCTGAGGAGCTGCTGATGCAGCAGCTCCTCCATGGGCCCTCCCTGCTCCCCATGTCCCAGAGCGAAATGCCTGTCTTGGTCAGGAGCAGACAACACAAGGAACCTTCAGCACCATCTGGGCATGCCTTGAGAAAGGATCCCTCAGGTAACCTATTCCACACACCCCTCCACTCCATAAACCACCTGTCCCCCCCACCCCTCGGGGAATGGATGCTGCACAGCACCCATTCCCCACACCCTGGAGAAGGGGGTCCATGCTGCACCATTCTGGGATCCATTTCCTCCATTATTCGGCAAGGATTTTCCAGGTAAGGGCAGCATGATTCTGGAGAATAGCTGTTTATTGCTACTAAAGCAAGTATTGTAGGCTGGTAGGCAAATCAGGGACAGAGGGGTCTATCTGCAGCCTGCAGCACCAGGAGAGGCGGGAGTACCCTCCTATCTCCAGCCACCATTAGAAATTCGTTTGGCTGGGTCAGTCCTGCGACATCCCCTGCTCACTGAATTCCTCCACTCAAAATAAACTTCCTGACCCTGCTGAGCACAGTTCTGCAATAGCCTCTAGATCTTGTTCCACATCACACCCTGCCGTCATCCCCTTCACTACACCAGGCCAGTGTATCCTTCGTCTGCTCCTGTCTTGGTGCCTTCTCCCATGCTGGCCCCCACCCCCAGGTTCCCAGTCCAAGGCACCAGGCCCCCACCCCACGCCTCATTTAGGGCCCCATTATATGGAAAGAGCAAATCCTTAAAACTCACAATGACTCAGTTTGGGGAGGCACAGACATACAAGGAAAAGGAATAAATATACATTTAATAATATATTAACCCCCTTCTTCCACCCCCAATTTAACTCCTTGCCCCCGTGTCTCATCTTCTGTCTCAGGAGGTGATATGCTCTCAGGAGCAGGAATTGTCTCTAGTTGTGCTTTGTACAGGTGCTAAATACATCAGATAAGAAATGGTGCAGCAGGCACCAGCCTCCGTTAATGCTTGCAGGAAAAAAGCAAAAGGCATAATACTTGGAAAGGGCTCTGAGGGATTCTGTAGGTGCAGATGGCAGGTGCCCCGGGGCTGAAGAGAGCGAAAGGAGGAAACCGGTGTGACCTCTGAGCACTAGTGGGCTGCAGTGGCTTTTGGCAGGGAAGGTGGACTCAGAGGTGGTGGCAGATTTCTTGTGTAGGATGGTGTTACTCAGCCATTGAAACACTGTGTCATGGGCTTAATGAGATACTGTAACACCTGGTCATGAGCCCTTCCCTCCGCCACGCCCTCACAGCTCTGCTATTCACAGGTGGCCTGTGACTGATGCTGTAACAGGAAGGAGCCTGGGGCCCTAATGGTGGAAAACATGCCAAGATTGCTCTGGGCACTGGTGGTTTGGTAAATCTCCCTTCTGGCCCTAAGGAAATAAATGAGACACAGAAAGAACTCGCAGTAAGTTTACAGGGGAAAGGAACCATGAGCAGAAAATTGGGGGAAGGTGAGTAGCAGGTGGTACTGGTATTTGTTAACACCTGTGAATAGGTAATGAAGGAAATGAAATTTACAGCAGATACCAAATGAGTTGCAAACACCAGTGAGGATAGTGAAACAACACAAAGAGCTCTAGGTGTTAGAAACAGAGACAGGAAAGAAAATGAGACTTACTTTGGAAAAATGCAGCTACTACAGCTGGCAACGTTTATCCAAACCCTAGAAATTCAAAGAGGGAGAAACCGGGAGGCAATGATAGTGAGGAGTGAGGGTAGGAATCTGCAATATGAGAGGGCAGCAAGAGAAACTAAAAAGCCAATATGATCCCAGGTTTCACAAGCAAAGGCCTCAGGTCACAGGAGACGGTCCCTCTAAACACAGCCCTGGAAGACTCCAGCTGGAAGATTATTTGCAATTTTGGGCATCTTGTTACCAGAGAGATATTGGCAAAACTGGAGGGATTTTCAGGGAAGAACCAAAAAATGAGCAGGGGCTGGAGGGAAAGATTCAGTAAAGAAAGATTAAAGAGCTAAATATATTTGACTTGGCTAAATGACAATTTTTTTGAGGGGGGAGACCGACATATCTACAAATAGCGGCCATGCATAAACATTATAGGTGGAGAGGGCTGATTTAGGATACAATCCAAGGGGACATGATTATGAAGAATCGGATCAAGCTGAACAGAAAATGTAATTTGAAGCTCAGGAGAATCTTCCTGATGGTGACACCTCAAGCAGGAGCCCCACCACTCACAGATGGATCCCGCTGGAGAACGGTCTTGATTTTTAATAAGGATACCAAAGTTTATATGTGCGTAAAACGAACAATCTGCTGCAGCAGGGCTGGGCAGCAAAGCTAGGGATTCAGAATGGTGTCAAGGAAAGTGTGTGATCCCAGTGACCCTCTGGCCTCAGCACATGCCCCAGAGCCCTGTGGGGCACACACCCGGCAGCCCCTAGGCTCTGGCACAGGCCCCTCAGCACTAGCGCACGCCAGCTTCCCCAGCAAAATTCTGGGTCTGGGGTGCGAGCTGGTGCTCAGTGCGGAGAACCAGGCATAAGAAACACTGGCTAGCGTCAGCATTACAGATCAGTGTTTTCAGAATGGGAGTGAAGGGCTCATGGCCCAAGCAGCAAATCCCAAGCAGTCAGAATCTGCCATCCTGCACTGTTCCCACCGCCATGTCATCTGCCCCAAACAAGAGACTCCAGCAACTCAGCTTGTTCTACTAGGTTTTAACGATAGGCCAAGGGAAGCATTTGCAGCCAGTGGCTGCATGGGGAGGTTGTTGGGCTTGGGAGTGGGGAGTGAGTGGGGTTGTTTTAAGTCGGTAGTTAGAGGACAGGATGGTGCTGGAGGGCTGGGCACCTACCCAGCCTTTAGCCCTGCATGAGTCTCAGCCCTACTGCTGTGAAGTTTCAAGCCTGACCTTTGTGAGAAGGGGAGAAGGTGAAATTTATCAGGCCTGGAGGGAGCAGAGTCTGATTGCATTGCGGGCCCCTGCTGCAGTCTGGAAAGTTATAAAGTCCAACTCAGGAAGCCTGCTGGAAAGGGGCTGCTCAGAATTGGAGCCAGGAGTCACAGACCTAGGGAGGCCTTGCACACACTGGGCTACATTCAGCCCAGGTTCTCTGCTGACTCCCATGCAAGGGCTGGGGAAACACCCTGCAGGCGCAATGAGACTTGAGGAGCTCAGTCTGTTCAATTTACCCAAAAGAAGAGCGAGAGCCAAGAGGGGACGTGATTACCGTGTAGAAGTAATTGCACAAGGAGAAAATACTGGGGACTAACAAGTTCTTTCACCTCGAGGAGAGAGGCAGAACAAGAACCAATGGCTGGATGCTGAAGCTCGTCAGTTAGAAATGAGGCACCAGTTTTTAAAAGGGTGATTAACCATTGGAACAAACTACACAGGAAGTGGAGGGTTCTTCATCTCTTGGAGTCTTCAGATCCAGACTGGAGGCCTTTCTGTAAGATACGATTTAAACAGGCTCCAATTCCTGAGCTCGATGCAGGGCTAACTAGTAAACCTCTTTGGCCTGTGCTATATGGGAAGTCTGGCCTTAAAGTCTATGACTCTGGTTTTGGGCAGCTTCCCTACGCAGAAAGTCCTTGAGGGTCAGAGCAGGGGGAAATGGCCAGTACAGAGAGACCTCAGGCCAGCTCCAGTCCACGGCATAGACAGTGCTGGCCTGGAAGGAAGGAGGCTGGTGGGATGTATAGATTCAGCGCATTCTCTATAGAGCCTTGGCCTGCAGGGCTCCTATGGGGATGCCAGATTAAAATTGCCCTTCTCAGTAGTGACCACCTCAAGTCCTCAAATATCCTAGATCTGGCTCCCATGAATCATGAGATGAGCGTAACAAATCGTAAGATTAAAAAAAACCACCCCACACATTGAGCGTTCTTTTTCTTTGCCTTCTGAGCCTCAGGGTTAGAAACTTGCTTTTTTGAAAGAAAAGAAAAGAAATCTGAGATTCTCACCTAATCACAATTCCAGGAGCTGGGTTTTAAGAAAAAACACCAAATAGCTTGAGACTCGCAATTAAATCATGAGAACTGGCAACACTGCTTCTCCCACAGAGACCCCAAGACATCTGTCTGATCTCCCTTGGCATGATTCCCTACTAGGACAGAAAGGGCCAGTCTGGAATGGGACATTAATTTACCCCTCTCTCCACACCAGCTTCAATTAATCTGGCTCGTCAACTCAGAATTTCCTGACATTTGGCAATTCCAACTCCCCAGCCATAGGGCAAAACTCACTTACAGCCATCACTTACCAGAACTCAGGGCTGCCCACTCAGTGACTGCTGACCTGAGAAGGGGGAGAGAACTAGACTGCAGGCTGGGGCAGACCCTCCATCCCGTTCTGACAGCAAGAAGGGACTGTTAGCCCAGTGGAAATGGCTCCCTCAGGGAACACTCTGCAGAAGGAGGTTCCCTAGACAATGCAGAGTTGGTGGAAGGAAATGGGATGTGTCAGAGTCACTATTCTCAGCTGGAGCAACCCTGATCACATACTTCATTTACAGGGCAAGCGATTCCCTTGTATTCCCCCATTCCAGTGCTGAGTGCAGTTTGAGCAGAATGAAGTCTCTGGCCCTGGGATCATTCTAGAGTCTCAGTGTCTTTGCAAATGACAGAACAATAGGTAGAGTGGTAAATAATAAAGATGCCAGGTCAGTTATACAGACCAACTGGATCGGCTGGTAAGCTGGGCCTTTTGATATGGCCAGATGCAAGGTTATATCTAGATTAAAGGGCAAGGGGAGAGGGCTGCAGAGCCCAGCCTCCAGCCTGAGTCAGAGTGGCTACATGGCTATTTTTAGCCCCACAGCACAAGTCCCACGAGCCCGAGTCAGTTGACCTGGGCTCTGAGACTCACTGCCACAGAGGTTTTTTTGCTGTATAAACATACCCTTGGTGGTCTTGGTAGATAAACCAAACGTGGGCACCCAACGTGATGCTGTAGCTAAGAGGGTGAATGTAATCCTTAGATTTATAAAGAGGATAATATCAAGCAGGAGTAGGGGTGAGGTCTTACCTCTGTATACAGCATGTCAATGGTTTAAAAAAAAGGATGTTCGATATTGGAAAGTATTCAATAAAGAGCTACAAAAACGCCTTGAGATCTAGAAAAGCTGCCTTAGAGTGAGAGTCTAGAGCAGCTCTATTTAGTTTATCCAAGAGAAGGTTCAGAGGTGAGTTTATGATGGTCTACAAGTACCTACAAGGGGGAAGAGATTTCTGACAGTAAACGGGTCTTTAATGAGGCATAATGAGATCAGTGGATGAAAGCTGAAGCTAGACAAATTCATACTAGAAATAAGGTGCAGATTTTGCACAGTGAGGGTAACTGACCATTAGTACAATGTACCTACGGTTGTGGTGGGTTCTCCATCACTTAACATTAATGCAAGACTTGATACCTTTCTAAAAAAATATGTTCTAGCTCAAACAGAAGTTATGGGTTCGATACTGAAATTACTGGGTGAGGTTCTCAGGCCTGTGTTATGCAGGAGGCCAGACTAGATGATCTTAGTGGACCATTCTGGCCTTAAGCTCCATACATCTCTGTCTGCTGAAAGGAGGTTGTGCCAAAGAGGATAAAGCTCCCTCCATCTGATTCCCCTCCACAGCTCTGCTTGGGGACTAAGTAGATACCTCTATTTGCCAACCCTTTACCCCACAGCCCTGGCTTTGGGGAATCTCCTTTCCTCTGTGCCTCCAAAGCAGGGAATCACTATCAGGGGAGGAGATTTGCAACTGGCTCCTTTTGATGTATGAAGATGCCTCACAGTGTTTTCTGCTTGTTATCGAAGTTGAGTCCCAGCTTCCACTCCAGTTCTTTAGCAAAAAGTGGGAAGAGTGACATCACAGGAGGCTGAAATCTGATCAGTTGCTATCCCATACTAAAGGCTAGAAAATGGGCTGGTGTGTACATTTGGGAGGGACTAAGGGGGGGTGCGGATTGAGGTTGAGATGTTAAGTCTAAGCAGGGGGAAAGGAAAGAATGTTCAGATTGTGACTAATTTTCATGCACGTCGCAAACACAAACATGAATTCATTAATCAATATTTGCATGTTTCAGTTTACACTGGTGCCAGGTGTCTTTTAAAGGAACATGATCTACTAAACACCCTTCCCTGGGGCCTAGGTTTCTGTGTGATTAGCATTGCCAGAGAGATGGTCCCACTGCAAGCGCTGGAATCTTGTAGGTGTGCTGTAGGGTCCAGTCTCCAGGGAACCCCGCCTGCAGGTACACTATAAATCCAACCTGTTTGCAAATCATCCTTGCCCAATGTGAGTTATTCCTGGAGAGATCAGCGGTGTCTGGCTAAGAATGTGTGTGACCAGATAGACAGGTCCCTTACATCAGACTCAATCTGGACAGGGGCCTGCTATGGGCCAGTGATAAGTTCTGGGAGGTGGTGAGAGAAGAGGTTTTCTTTCATATATACACCAATCTTCTGTGGAAGGAACATTTTGCCTTCTAGTATTTCAGGTCCATTGCCAGGGCTCAGCCAAGGCTGCTGGCCTCCTCCAGACCCAACATCTTCTGTTCCTTTCCCCCTCACATCTGCTTGTCCCATATTGGCGTCCGGCTGTGTGGCCAGCCAAGCAGTGGGCAGTTGGGATCCAGGTGGTTTTACAGGGTAGGCAGAGCTAGACACAGCATGCTCCTGAGGAGCTGAAGGTGGCCAAGGGTAGCAAGCTTGCTTTGTGCTGGTGCGGATGCCCTGCTCAGACAAGCTCTGAGCGGCTGTGGGGACCGTCTCCAGGGAAAGGAAATAGATCTCTGCACAGTGCAATGGCTTCCTGCATAACCCTGAGATTAGCCCCACAGCCAGCTTGGCGCTTCCAAGTCACAGCAATTCCCTCAGGGATTACTGCTGCCTCTGTCTAAACAAGACCAAAAAGAACAAGCAGCATAAAGAGCCGAAAAGCTGCTGCTTTATGTGACCAATCCAAGAAGGGATCCCAGCAAGATACATCTCCACAGAGAAGAGGAGCCTGTGCATCTGTCAGTGCAGGCGTGAGCCAGAGGAGAAGATTGAATGCCCTTGTACAGGCAGGAGCTTCAGTGAAAGGCAGGAGGGACTCTGCTGGGTAAGGCTGGCTCTGCAGGTAACCTCAGAACTCTGTGCGACAGCTGGTGTGGCAGGGGCCCATTACAGCCTTTACTGCGGGATTTGCCACTCTCTAAATGAGTCCCTTCTGCAGGCACTTTGGTTTGTGGAAGGTAAGCCAGCTAAGCAGGAGCACAGCCACCAACACGAGAGAGCAGAACACCATGAGCCCCACATAACTGGCATGGGAGAGAGGGCGTGTCGGGGGCTTCTCTGCAGGGATCATGTTTGTCAGGTTCAGCATGTAGCCCAGAGTCCAGCCTGCATCACTGCTGCCAATCTGGAAAAGAGGACAAGACCCAAATTACCTACCAGGACTAAGGAACATACAGGGAGTGGGCTGGTATGGACAAGAAGGTCAGGTCTCTTCTAGGGGCAGTGGTATGGGGCAAGGTGTCTGTGTGTGTGTGTGGGCGGGGGCAGGGTGGAGGTGGTGTCACAAGTGTTATAGCCCCACAGAGATGGGGTGGTATATAGGGTGTGGGTATCATAGGCATAGCCCTCCCTATCTCGAAACTCTCTGCATATGTGAAGTTACCTTTCCAAGGAACTGGATGTTTTGCCATTTCTCCATGGTGAATCCATAGCCATTCTCCAGGAGGGAGAGGATGTAGGTCCCGGAGAAACAATATTCACTCAGGTACTTCTCTTTTATCTTGGGAAATTCTGCCTTTACCTGCAGCAGGACAAAGACTTTACTTGCCTGCTGCTCCACATGGTTACCACAGGCCTGGCTTGCACCAGAGACCTCTCTCCAGGTGCTGGCAGCATCTGCCCACTCCATCATTAGCATTAATCTAGATTCTAGCAGCACCAGATGCTCCAGAAGTTCTCCCCTAGCACTGAATGGATGGTGGGAAGTATTTATGTATGTGTAGGCCCCTCCTAACAGCCTCTCACCAGCAGAGATGTCACTTAGCCAAAAGCAGAGCAGGAAAGGACTCCTACAGACACCACAGCAAGCAGCGCCAGAGAGCAGGAGAAGGTACGTGTGCTGTAAATCGGCATAGGGAGGATTCCGCACAATGGCAAGTCTAGAGGTTCCCTAGAAACGGGGTTTGTGAGGGGGAAGTTCACCTGCTGCCTGGCTCCCACACACAGCCATCACCACCAGGGCTGATCCCTGATTCCTGGTGCTATTGCAGAGGAAGAGTCTCACGCTGCTGCAGCCGGTCACTCTCTTACCTCGTGCCAAGGTCTGGAGCAGAAGCTTTCCACAGCGCTGGTCGCTTTGTCTAGAGGGACTGGGCTCTTCTCTGTCGTCAGGTTTAAAAAGTTCATCACAAAGTAGAAAGCAGAAAATGCCTGAAGGGGAGAAAATTTTAAACCTGTTTAGCCTTAGTATGGAAAGCAGAGTCCAACTCCGAGCAATGACGCCAGAGCATGGGGCTCCCTCTGTGAATCCAAAGCATTTGCGTAAACAGAAATCCCAGCATGCGGGTGCGTTCCAGCTTGCATAGAGCTCCATGAACATGCCATGGGCTGCACATCTGGGTGTCTGGGGAGAGGGTTTTGCAGCTGGCTAGGTCAGGATTATAGGCACCAAGTATTCACACTCTCGTGGGGGTGGAGCAAAGGAGAGCGACTCAACCGTCACTGCCTTCTATCATAGGTGGGGTTGGTAGCACTGCCTATTGTTACGTTTGCATGACACTTCCCATTAAGAGCCTCTTTTCAGTTGCTTATAACTTTGCCAAACTTGAAAGTTCCCACACTGGGTGTCTACCTCAAGCTAGTGTGTTGTGGGGGAAGTTGTTTGTTTTGTTTTTTTAAAAGTTTCAGGCAAAATGTTTCAGCTGTTTCTAAGAATGAGTTTCGGGGAAAATACAGTGTTTTTCTGATATTAAAAAATTCTGGTAACTTTTTCCTTGAGAAGCAATAGCAGGGACTTGAAATCGGTCAGGGGAGTTGTCTTGGTGTCAGCAATGTGCCTTTTGTTCCCATGAAAAGCTGCCCAAATTTGGCCAAGTTATAAGCCTTTGAAAAAATCTGTTTGAATTCATTCAGGAAAGACTTCCTAAAAAAAAGTTTAGCAGCTAAAATTTCCAAAGATTCTGTGCACACTGAGAATGCTTCCTCCCCTCACAGTTCCTCTATGTGTCGGACTGTGCATGCATCATCCCCACAGAACAACTGAGTATGTTCAAATCAGGGCTGCAAGGGTGAAGCCAGACTTTTCCTGCAATTACAGCTCCTGGCTGCTGTGGGCCAGCCCAAGGTGGGCACCGGAACTGAGAGCAAGGAGCCTCTCTCTCCTCTGCTCTCATTTACTCTCCTAATGGTGCCCAGGCAGCATGGAGGAGGAAACTACATGATTCAAAAGCAGAGAAGACAAGAGCCAGACTTGTGGGAGGGGAAAGGCATAGATTGTGACAAGGAGCCTGGGGAGCTGGGACTGGAGAGGGAAAGAGAGAGAAACTGGGAATGGGAGCTGGGGAGAGACGGGGACTGGGAACCAGGGGAGGGAGGGAGACTAGGACAGAGAGCAGGGGAGTGGACAATGCGACTGCCTGGGCAAGGAGACTAGTAGTGAGAACTGTGCAGGAGGGTTTGGAGGCTGGGACTGGTCGGGCAAGACAACGGAGACTGGGAGACTGCGTGGGGTGGTGGGAAAGATAGATTGGACGAGAAGCTGGGGCGTGGGGATTGGGATTGGCTGGGCAAAGAGACAGGGACTGATAGTGGAGGGGGGAGACTGGGACACTGGAGGGCAAGAAGAGTGGGATGGGGATGAGACGTCTGAGGAGTGGAGACTGGACTGAGTAGTTAAAGAGAATAGGAATGGGATGAAGATCTGGGGGTGGGAAAGAGAGAGAACTGGGGCAGGTTAGAAGGGACATGGCAGAAGGGGTCTATGTCTCATGCACAACACGGCTCAGATTGGTTAGTGATCAAGGCAGCTAAGAGTGCATTGGCCCTGGCAGAGGTCCAGGCTGGCCTCCTGTCACCAGGTCTTGTGCCATTATTTTGCTGTGTAGATCATCTCAGAGTTCACTGCCCCACAAGCTATCAGTGCCACTCTGCGTATCTGACCTCCAGGCACTTTCTCTCTCCAGAATGCACTGACACAAACACAGGCAGTGTGGGAGGTGGGGGGACCACAAACTTGTGTGACATATGGCTGTGATGTACAAAAATCTGCTGTGTGGACATAACTTAAACCAGATTTGTTATAACTAGGTCAGATGAGTTCTCTCGTGGCATTTACAGGCTCAGTCCACACTATAAACAGCCCCCTGCCCCCCAAGTACCTCAGTCTTCCCTACAGCCCCCCGGGAACATACCCTAAGCAGACCCTCTGTGTCTGCTCTGGGTTAGAGCATGCCGCCGGTCGTCCAGACTCACCCCAAACTCCCCTTGTAACGGAGGCAGGAAAATCCCATTGAAGGCGCAGCTGGAGTAAGGGCAATAGCTAGTGTTGAAGATCTTCTGGATGGTCATTCGGCACCTTTGGTAATCCCCATTCCCCTGGAGGTGAAGCTGTGTGAATGGAAGCTGCTGCTCACCATTAGCTATACAGGGGTTGGTGTAGAGATCACTTATATTCATAATCCTCAAATATCCTAGGTGAAAGCAGGGATCCAGGAGGCTGCCATTCTGTGTGCTCTGCAGGTAAAACAACCCAGGCCATTGGCACTCAGTTCCAGAGTACGGGACCATGAAAACAGCAACAGGATGTACTGACCTAAGAAAGCTGTCCTGGAACTGGGGACAGATATAACATGCCAGGATTCTCATACCAACCACAAACTCATCCTCTGTACTCAGGAGTCCTGCTTTCTGAGTCGTGCTCAGTCACAGGCTTCCCGTGTGGCTGCAGGCAAGTCATTTGCAGCCACATTTCCAAAGTTAGGCACTCAAAATGAGTGGGAATTTGAGATACTTTGGTCCTGATTTCCAGAGGTGCTGAGCACCCACAGCTCCTGCTACCTTCAGTCAGAGCTGTGGGTGCTCAACACCCCCAATATCAGACCCCGGATATCTCCAAGCTGGGTACCCAAGAACAGAGGCACTCCAAATTGGTGGCCACGGTTGAAACCTCTGGCCTTCGTTCCTGGCTGTAAGTCAGGGATAATGAGACTTCCCCACTGAAATCCACTGTTGTGAGGCTCAGGTTCCAGCCTCACCCGGCTGCACCACAGTGGTGTGTGCAAATAGCAAATGCCGAAGGTGGGGAGGGTCCAGAAACTCTCAGCCCCACAGGTACCGGCCCTGGAGCTCTCACACTTGCCTGTAGGTCAGTGGCCAGCTTCAAGCGCAGAGCCTGGTCCTTCCCGTAGCACAGGAAGCTGTGCGTATACACGTTGTAGTTCTTGCCATAGAGACGAAAGTGCAGTGAGTTCTCTTGAGATTCAATCAGCTCTTGGTCCGGTGCAAAGGTGATCTGAGTGGAGGCTCCACCAAGGTCCAGGGCCCCTGATGTCCCACGGCTGGATCTCAGGTGAGGCAGAAAGTTCAGCCAGCCAGGCTTAAAAGAAAACAGGGACAATGAGACAAGGCTACCAGCCTGGGGGTGAGAGAAACAGGAATAAGGTTGGGAGGAGAGCGAGAGAGAAGGTAGCACAGGGCAGAAGGGAGGCATGGGGGCCTGGAGCAGGGCACAGGGTGTGAGGAGAACCGGGTAGAGGGGCAAAATGAGGGTTCAGAAGAGAGAGGAGATGATGTACAGCAGGTGTCCATGGGAGGGTTAGAACACGCAATCTGCAGCTGAACGATCCCTATGAGAGATAGTAAAAAAATATGACACACCTCTCTCTAGTGCCGTGTATGCCACAGAACCCCAAACACTTTACCAACACTACAGAGGAATCATTCTGCCAGCCACTGAAATGCTCCCACTCTGGGGTGGAACACAATAACTGTTTAAAAGAACACAGATTTAGGACAGGAAATTAAGGAGGATATCTTGTGTATCTGAAACTGCAGGAGGAATTCCAGAAGGTTTCTGTTTCAATGCACTAACAAATTGTGCGGGCACCAATTGTGTGGCGCCCATTATGACACCACCTCACATATGAGAGCGGATGCATTTAGTTTCCTAACGAGCCCTTGGAAGCTGGATTGCTGAAGAATTGTGTGGGGTCACTTTCTGCCCCCTGGTAAAAGGGGTTGTAAAAGAAGCCCAGTGCTGGCAGAAGCCCTCTTGCCAAGTATGGTTTACAAAGTCCCACCCGCCCACATTTCTGGAGTACACCACTTGCCCTGGCTATTGGATGTGTTACCTGCTTGAAGTTGCCCAACAGGTAATTAATGGTGATCCAGCCATAGGCTCCTTCTTCCTGACCACTGATGACTCTGGCACCCTGGAAGTTGAAGGGGGATGAGCGCAGCGTCTTCTCCACTGCAGAGAGGACTCTGTCAGCCATACTTCTGTTCTGCAAGCTGGACGTATAGAGGAAAGGACTGAGTGACTCCAGTCTAGAAGCTCTCAGCAGCCTGTTGGTTTTACTCTACCCCCCAGGACACACTTGAGGTACTTTTGGTAAGACAGAAGTGCAAGCTGGATCTAACACACTAGATGTTCTCAGTGACATCATTCCTTACTGTCTCACCATCCCAGCTTGTCCGCCGGTGTTTCTGATGCTTACTCAGTTGCCACGGACAACAGCAGTCACTTCCTGAAGCAGGGCAGGAATTCCCACAGGCACCCCCCACTGAGCACACCCATTAGAGGATATCACTAAGGCTAACGTTTAGACACATGTATTTTAGTCACAGGTATTTCTGGATACGTCATGGGCAATAAATAAAAACCCACAGCCTGTGACCTGTCCATGACTTTTACCAAAAATACCCCTGACTAAATCTCTACTTCTGGGCCCCACAGCTCCGGGGGGCCCCTGATGGGGGGGGCCTGCTCCAGTGCTGGGGGTTGACGGTCCCCTGCGGCTCCTGGGGACTGCTCTCTGGATGGCTCCCAGGCACCCCAAGCCACTGCTCCAGCTGACCCAGGACCACTGCTGCTCGGGCAGTCCCCAGGGCACCCCGAGGACTGCTACTTAGAAGGTCCCCAGAGCCAGCCACACCAGCCGCTGTTCCAGCGGTCCTTGGAGCCAGCTGCCCAGAGCCTCCCGAGCAGTGGCTGGTGCGGCTGGCCCTGGTGCAACCCCTGGGACCCTACTTGAGTGGTCCCCAGGACCAGCTGCTGCTTGCATGGTCCCCAGAGCCAGCTGTCCGGGGCCTCCCGAGCAGTGGCTGGTGCGGCTGGCCCCAGGTACCGCCGGAGCAGCTGGCCCCGGTTGCTCCAGCAGCGGCTAATGAGGCTGGCCATGGGGCGCTCAGGTGGCCCTGAAGTCAGCCGCACCAGCCGCAGTGGAAGTCACGGAGGTCACGGAAAAAGTCACGGAATCCGTGACTTCCACGACCTCCATGAAAGAACTGCCGTCTTAGACATCACACCCCGGGATTCCCCTCACAAGCCATTGTATCACTGCTACAAAAGAAACAGCATGCCACACTCTACCTTCATGGAGTCTCTGTAGGCAATACTCATCTGGGAGTAACCTGGCCAGCCAAGGTGCCAGGAGTAGGGATGGGGATATGCCTTCGTTTCACTAGGATACAAGAGATGTCCAGGCATCCACTCATATGGGCCAGTTTGGGATGATACTACCACCATCTGAGTGTCCCTGTAATGGGGCCAGTACAGTGCATGGGCACTGTATGGGGAAAGAAAGTCAGGGCAGGGAAAGGAGTCAGAGCAGAGTGGTGAAGGGAGGAAGCAGAAAGAGAGGGAGAAGACTTGGTGGGGAGAGCAGGGGGAGTCTGAGGTGAGGAGAAAAGAGGGGCAGATTGTGTGAGGCAGAGATAGCAAAGGCTGATGGAGGAACCCTGGATATCCTTTGGTGTCTCAGACACCGGAACACTCATTCCCAATGATTCCCAGTCAGAAGGTTCTGTTCTACACGCAGGATGGGCTCACACGTGGCTGAGCCATTCCCGTGGATGGGAAGAAGGAGGACTGAACAGGACACAAGCTGTGTAGTGTGGGGCCAGCACAGTCCCATGTCAATCTATTGAGGGGCACCAGTTATGAAATCAGCCCTTGGTATTTCCCATCCCGGAGGGCAAACGTAAGTCACCTGCTGTGAAATTGACAAGACAGCCAACAGTCAGAGTGTCTACACAGACACTGTCGCCCTAACTACACTGAGGTAAGCCATATGTACCCACGGAGGTGAAGTCATTGTTGGTGTAGTAGGGCACTTACATTGTCAGGAGCAAGGCTGTAGTGTGTACACACTGAGATTACACCTAACTGTGTAGTGTAGACCAGGCCTGAGGCCTGGTCTACACTACA